TGAGCACACCAGCCAGGCCAGAAGTGGGCTGCTGAGGTGAGAGGTGAAAGGACCAGGTAATTAAGGGAAGGGGCGAAGTGCGGGATCTCAGGGTTAAGCTGAGTAAGAAAACGGAGCATCCAAGGGTAGGAAGGGTGCATCTTCAGTTCAGCCTCTTCCTCTCCCTCCGCGGCCCCCAAGATCACTCAGTGGCTGAAAGGCAGGCGACTGACTGGACCAAGAGGGACCGTGGGATGGGCCTTGCGATGAGCTGTGACCACGACTCAGCATGAAACATATCAAGCAGCTTTGTCATGACATTAATCATGGCGGCATCCACTCCCCTGGCCCGTTCGTCATATTTTCTACTCAGGGGACAGCTGAGGCTTCTAGCTAAGGGTCCACTTGCGTGAGGCTCTGTGCCTGGAGCGGATGGGGAAGGTGTCTGACGTTTTTCTTCGCAGGCCTCTGCGGGAGGGGCAGTCTCCACAGCTGAAGAACAGCTGTGGCCACACGTTCAGTGCAGAGAATGGGCACCTGAAACATTGCCCAGGAAGCCGTCTGCTGCTCCCCACCAGGGCTCCCCAACAGGGGGTACACTCCAGGGCTCCCCACCAGGGCTCCACACCAGGACTCCACAACAGGGCTCCCCACCAGGGCTCCCCACCAGGACTCCACAACAGGGTTCCACACCAGGGGTTCCCCACCAGGGCTCCACACCAGGACTCCACAACAGGGCTCCCCACCAGGGCTCCCCACCAGGACTCCACAACAGGGTTCCACACCAGGGGTTCCCCACCAGGGCTCCACACCAGGACTCCACAACAGGGCTCCCCACCAGGGCTCCCCACCAGGACTCCACAACAGGGCTCCACACCAGGGTTCTACACCAGGGGTTCCCCACCAGGGCTCCCCACCAGGGCTCCACACCAGGGCTCCACACCAGGGGTTCCCCACCAGGGGCCCACTCCAGAGTTCCACACCAGGGCTCCACACCAGGGGTTCCACACCAGGGGTTCCACACTAGGGGTTCCACACCAGGGCTCCCCACCAGGGCTCCCCACCAGGGGTTCCACACCAGGGTTCCACACCAGGGGTTCCCCACCAGGGCTCCACACCAGGGCTCCACACCAGGGGTTCCCCACCAAGGGTCCACTCCAGGGTTCCACACCAGGGGTTCCACACCAGGGCTCCACACCAGGGGTTCCCCACCAGGGCTCCCGACCAGGGCTCCACACCAGGGCTCCCCACCAGGGGTTCCACACCAGGGGTTCCACACCAGGGTTCCACACCAGGGTTCCACACCAGGGGTTCCACATCAGGGGTTCCACACCAGGGTTCCACACCAGGGGTTCCACACCAAGCGTTCCACACCAGGGGTCCCACACCAGGGGTTCCACACCAGGGGTCCCCACCAGGGTTCCACACCAGGGCTCCACACCGGGGGTTCCACACCAGGGCTCCACACCAGGGCTCCACACCAAGTGTTTCACACAATGTCCGGATTCCAGCCCCCAGCCCCATCTCTAATCTGAGAAAAAGTAGAATAGGAAAGAAGAAATGTTTTGGATCAAAACCAGACAGTTGTAACTGGATATTCTCACCACCAGTAACTCAATGTTCTAGAAAGTTCTTTGACTTCAAAATATATAATGGCATCCTTATCGACAATCATTTTGAAGAATTCTCCTTGGTGAAGCCAATTATACATGTTACATTCAGTACCAGGACTCTTCTCTTTGAAGGTGTATAATTCAAAAGGGTCTGGCTGGCGTGGCTCAGTGGTTGAGCATCGACCTATGAGCCAGGAAGTCATGGTTCAATTCCTGGTCAGGGCACATGACTGGGTTGCGGGCTTGATTCCCAGTTGGGGGCATGTAGGAAGCAGCTAATCAGTTATTGTTTCTCATCATTGATGTTTCTATCTCTCTCAGGGGTGATCAGGCCAGCAGGGGAGGGCAGTTAGAGGGTGATCAGGCCTACAGGGGAGCAGTTAGGGGGCAATCAGGCTGGCAGGCAGAGGCAGTTGGGGGCATCAGGCAGACAGGCAGATGAGTAGTTAGGGCCAGTGGTCCTGGATTGTGAGGGGGATGTCCACTGAGGGGCTCCAGATTGGAAAGGGTGCAGGCTGGGCTGAAGGACCCCCCCCCGCCACACACACACACACACTCGTGCACAAATTTTGTGCACCGGGCCTCTAGTATATATATAAAAAGGGAGGGATGGTTCTTCATAAACAGTGAGAATACCATTTATGTTCTCCAGTAATCCAGGAGGGAATGAGAAAGTGAAGTGGGAACGTGTATTAGTCAGGGTGCTCTAGAGAAACAGACCAATAGGAGTTGGATAGATAGATAGACAGACAGACAGATAGATTCTGAATGAGTAGGTCTAGGGAAAGGCCTTTTAAAAAAATGTCCCTAGGTGCCTCTCGGGGTTTGAGGATGTTGGATGCGCGGTGCCTCTGGCAGGTGTTTCTGCATTGACTCAAATTCCAAGGCTGCTGCTGGGAAGACTAAACATTCAATCAGCCAATGGCCTACGGTGACACAGAAATCTTCTACCCCAGGACCATCATGAGGTGATAATTTTTAAAAAGTCCCTTCCAAATAACACAGCACCACCTCTGCCTGAAGCCAGGATGCCAACACATTACCCTCGTCTAATTCCTTCTAATTCTTCCGTGGGAGCAGTACCCACAGTAGATGTTTTGGCGTCTGGGCAAGTCCAGTTCACCAGCAATGGCTCCGAGATGCAGACCAGAGATTCAGTCTGGGAGGCACTGGGATCCGGTCACAACGGCAGAACGTGGTGGGGACACGAGCTGGGCTCCAGGGCAGGGCCTCTCTCCTGTCCTTTCCAGCTCACGCTCAGGACATTCTTTCCTGGAAAAAATCACCCGGAGGACGCGTTAAGATGCAGATCGCCAGGCCCTGAACTTCGCGCCTCCGATTCCTTCCTTCGGGTTGGAGCGCTGAGACTCTGCACTTCCAACACGTCCCCAGGGCTGCTGCTGGGCGGGACCACACTCTCGGGGCGGCTGCTGGAGATCACTGGCCACGGCTCGCGTGGGATGTGAGATCCGAATTGGAGTCCTCTGTGTATGCTCAGCTCCCGGCCCAAATCGAGGTGTGACTGGCTGTGTGCAATCCTGAGAAAGTTTCGATTATTTTTAACGTTTTACTTTGAGAGAACTTTGGATGTCTAGTCGAATCGCAAAAGTCGTACAGAGTTCCCATATACCTCTGCCCAACTTCCCCGTATGTTAGCGCCTTACATAACCACAGAGCAGCCATCAAACCCAAGAGTGTAACCTTAGTAAAGACGATGACCAACTAGACTACAAGTTGTTGGGGCTCACCCCGCTTTCCCACTAACGTCCTTTTCATGCGTCAAGACCCATCCAGTCCAGGCTCCCATGTTGGATTTCGTCGTTACGCCTCCTCGGTCTTCCCACCTGGGACAGCACAGCGGTCTTCCTGTCTCTTGTTAGCTTGACAGCTCTATCTGGGAGGACGCCTCTCACATTGTCTGTGGTTTTCTCGTGATTAGACTAAGTCAGTGGTTCTCAACCTTCTGGCCCTTTAAATACAGTTCCTCATGTTGTGACCCAACCATAAAATTATTTTCGTTGCTACTTCATAACTGTAATGCTGCTACTGTTATGAATCGTCATGTAAATATCTGATAGACAGGATGGTCTTAGGCGACCCCTGTGAAAGGGTCATTCGACCGCCACAGGGTTCGCGACCCACAGGTTGAGAACCACTGGACTAAGCTATCTGTTCCTGGGAAGGATGCCACAGAGGGGCTGTGTCCTGCTCAGGGCACCGCTTCCGGTGATGCGTGACATCGGCCTGAGGGGCTGGTGATGTTAACACACTTGGTTACTGTGGTGTCTGCCAGAATTCTACACGGGGAAGTTGCTGTTTTTCCCTTTGTAATTACTAGATGTTTTGGTGGCGATCCATTGAGACTTCAAGTATCCTGACTCAGCTTAAATGTGAACATCACTAATGTCAGCGCCCACCGTGGAGCTCTCGGGCAGCAATGGCTACCTTGACGTTCTGATGGAAGCTGTTTCCCTGGCTCCTCCTGTTTACCCACTGGAATGCTTCTGCATGAAGAGGTGTTTCTCCCAGGATGAAGCCCTCTGACATCGGAGCTGCAGAGCCCCACAGTCAAAGCCCGGGGCTGCTATTAACACCCCTCTGCTGCTGGGCACGTCTGACCTTGTGAAGAGGATAGTTGGGTTTGCCAGCTGGAAGAAAAGGCAACTCGGCCTGAAGAGGGCGCCGTTGCAGGAGGGCTCCGTGCGGTGTGGAGCCTGGATGAAGAGCCCGACTTCCCCATATGGAGACCTGGGCTCTCCTCGCTGTACCCCATCCGCCCGAGAGCTCAGACAAGGGGCAGCCCCTTCGTGCCCGTTTCCTTGTGTAAAAAAACAAGGCGGTTGGATGTGATGGTCCAACTCTGATGGTTTCTGCTCAACATTTCAGTCTCATTAGACATCGGTTTTCCCCTTTATCTTCTTCTGTGGATATTTTCCCATCGCTTTTGGATAGAGTGGAAAGGGGAGTGAGGGGGAGAGAAAGGGAAACACTGATGTGAGACAAACCAATTGGTGACCTCCTGCATGCGCCCTGACTAGGGCTGGGGATGGAGCCTGCAACTGAGGTACAATGTGCCCTTGACCGGGAATTGAACCCGAGAGCATTCAGTGTGCAGGCCGATGCTCTAACCACTGAGCACTCGGCCAGGGCCCCTTTATCTTCTTTATCGCACCCGTCCTTTCCTCATCACTTCTGGAAGAACTGTGTGTGCACTGTTCTTATCGTATAAAAACAACAGCTATCTCTTTCTAACTGTGCTCTCATCCCTAAAACGTTCCCGCCTGCATACGTGAAGATGAATAGCCCTTGTTCCTAGCGCGGACATGTTAACTACTTGGGAGGTTATGCAACCAGGCTTGTTACAATCCCAGAAGGCAGAACTGAAACAGATTCCACAAGGAAAGCCACATTTTATTTTCTGGCCTAGAATGTTTCTCCAGCCATGAATCCAAGATGAGGCTCATATCTTCAAAGGTTCATTTCCTGCTTCCTTAGCCTCTGAGTGCAATAAACGCCTGTTTTGTTAGACACCTCACTCCCCCTGTCCACAATGAGCAGGCACGGACTCTTAGTTAATAAAACGAGGGTTTATTGAATCTCCAGTTCTAACAAACAGTCAGGCATGATCTTCGCCATGGGCCCCCAGGCCTGGTAAGAATGAAGTGGTCCCTGTGCCCGCTGACAGGGAGAATGTCCAAGCGTATTCTTTAGTCTCAAAGGTGAGGCTCCCCGACCTCTTCGCTGCTGAATTTCAGGTTCTTAACACACGGAGGTCCCAAAGACACTTTTGGCCAAACATTAAGATCTTAAAAAAAAAAAAAAGGAAAAGCAAAAAGCAGGGAACCAGGTATAGACTAAAACAGATGGTGGCCTTGGCCGTGGCACCGCAGAGCAACCTGCTCTGAAGGCGGCCGGAGCCCAGACCTGCCGCACGCTTCCCCTGCTCGTGCTGAGGGCTGGGGAGGGAGGAGGTGGACGAGCCATGCGGGTTTCCAGGAGGAAATCAGGACCTGGAGGGGTTTTATTTCCACAGGAAGGTCAGAGCAGCAGGAGATCAAGGCTTACCCTCGCTCCCGCTCCAGCAAATACTTAAAACCCTGGAGCAGGAGGAGCCAAGAAACAGCCCACCGCCTTGGGCTGCTCTATGGTTTGTGTTTAAAAGACTGAATTTAAATGAAAAGAATAAAGATGAGGAGGAAGGCATCGAGGCTTCAGCTTCCGGCCCTGAAAGCCTGCTGATCCTTGGAGCCCAGACAAGCTGGGCTTCAAGAAGCCGGAGGCACAGCCCAGGACGAGCCCAGCCAGGGGCAGAGCCGAGCTCGGGGACGCTCCTCTCCCGGCCGCTCTCCCCTTGTCTCCTCGGTCCTACCTGTCCCCACTGGTCTCTGCCAGCCTGTTGTTCATGATGGCAAAGGCCCCCACGCCCCCTGAGAACTCGCTGTCCCGAGGCTGTGTGCCGGTAGGGAGGCGGCAGCCGTTGGCCGACTCGGACAGCTGCTTCTGCAGCACGGCCAGTGACACCTTGTTGGCGGTCAGGAAGTCCTTCATGGAGATCATCTCCTCCGAGGGGCACCGCCCACCCGCCTCGCTCTCCATCACCCCGCCCGTTTCTGAGGGGTCGTTGCCTGGCACAATCGCGTTCCTGTGAGCCCGTGGGAGGCCGCCCCGGCACTGCCGGCAGCACCCGCTGCCCATTTTCCTCAGGATCCAGTTCACCGACTGTTTGATGAGGATGGAGATGACATTGAACAAGGAGTAGATGCAGCAGACGCCCATGAGGATGAAGGCGAAGTTGGCAAAGCGATAGAGGCCCTGGCTCTCGTACATGGCGTTCTGGCTGCTGACCAGGTCCCCGAAGCCGATGGTGCTGAACGCCACGAAGCAGAAGTAGAGGGAGTCGAAGTAGCTCCAGCCCTCGATGCAGGTGTACATGGCCGAGGCGCAGCAGGAGATGAGGAGGGAGGCCAGGCACAGGATCAGCATGACGTAGTACACGGAGGGCTTCCAGCCCGCCGGGCCGCCCACCGCACCGCAGAGGCCCTGGTTCTTGGGGTTCTCCCGGGGCAGGGCCCCCTCTCTCTGGAGCTGCTGCTGGTGGCAGGACTTCATGATGTAGGCGATGACGGTGATCAGCCGCTCCAGGAAGAGGTTGAAGAACAAGATGGTGCTAGCACACCCAATGAGGCCATAGAAGATCAGAAAGATTTTCCCTCCGACTGTCACGGGCGTCGTCATCCCAAACCCTGCAGGAGACAAAAGAGGAGAGAAGCGTGAGGGAGAGCCGTGCCGTGGATGGGGTCAGGGTCTTGGCTCTGATGTGGGCCAAGGACCCACAGAAACGGTTTCACCGAAGCACCCAGGCCTTGTCCTCTGAGGAACTCGAGGGCAAGTCCTCACTGCCTTTGAAGACTCTACGGGTTGTTCAGAGATGGAGCCGCAGAGCGAATCAGGAAAAGGCACCTTGTCCTCCAGGCCGGCGCGGCCAGTGAGATGGCTTGGCGATGGGTAGGTGGGCTGACTTCCGCCTCCCCGCCCCACTCTGCCGGACGTCCCAGTACAGTGCACAACCTGAGCTGCCAGACCCGACAGATGTTGTTCAGGGAGATAAACAAAGGTTCATACAAAGAAAGGGCTTATACAGACTCATCGAAATTCATGTGTTCCACAAACGTGTTGAGTGCCATTCGGGGAACGAGGGATCGAGCTGTGGGAAAGACAGACCTGGGCCCTGTCCTCAGGGAGCTCTCGTCCAGTGAGGCGATGACTAATACTGTGTGGTCAGCCTCGTGCTGTAGGATCCCAGGGGAGCTGTTAGAGGGGAGCCCATTTCAGAATTGGGGTTCTGGAAAGACGAAGCATGGAGACTTGAAAGCTAAAGAGAAGTTAGGTAGAAAAGGAGGGTGTGTGCGTGTTGTGTGTGTGTGTTGTGTGTGTGTGAACGAGTGATGATGAAGATGATGGTGGTGGGGATGGGGCTGTTCCAGGCAGAGACACAGCAGATACCAGCGTATGTGGAGTTGAGACATTTGCTCAACATTTTTTAAACAAAATTCTTCCTATGTACATCTCATGCTTTGGAAGTGAACACTGAGGTGTTGGTTGACAAAATATAAAATGTCTCTCTTGCTTTTGTCTTTTCCTGTTCACGATTTCCATCTTCTTGACCTTCCTACCCAGGCACACAGACAAGTTACTAAGAATCCAGCTGTAGGACACTGGATGTCACTAAGAAAAATGAGAAACAGGAAAGAGAGCAGTGATACACTTGCTGAGAATCAGAAGAGAGCTTTCTCATGTAGCATGAGATTCAAGTGGGCACGCTTTCTTTTCCGAAATCTTCCTGTCCGATCCCAAAGGTGACAATTATTTTTCTTGTGGAGAGCGGGGCAGCTCTCAGCCACAGGTAATAGTAATAATGTATTATTAATTTAAAAATAGGTTTTTATTCATTTCAGAGAGAGTAAAGGAGAGGGAGAGAGAGGAACATCAATGATGAGAGAATCATTAATCAGCTACCTCCTGCACGTCCCACACTGGGGATCGAGCCCGCAACCTGGGCATGTGCCCTGATGGGGAGTCAAACCATGACCTCCTGGTTCATGGGTCAATGCTCAATCACTGGCTGGGCAGCAGTAATTTATTGAGTTAAGTTCATCTGTTAAGTTCAGGAGCCTGCATAGGGGTCTGTGTCACACAAAGATGACCTGTCCGAGGTCCTGGACCTCAAGGAGTGCAGCTTCTAGGCCAGTGGTTCTCAACCTGTGGGTTGCGACCCCTTTGGCGGTCGAACGACCCTTTCACAGGGGTCGCCTAAGACCATCCTGCATATCAGATATTTACATTACAATTCATAATAGTAGCAACATTACAGTTATGAAGTAGCAACGAAAATAATTTTATGGTTGGGTCACAACATGAGGAACGGTATTTAAAGGGCCAGAAGGTTGAGAACCACTGTTCTATGCCAAGACAGATAAACAGCCGTCTACAGAACAAGGCCCATTGATTCAAGGGCCAGCATGAAGGTGTGATGGGTCTCCCTGGCATCAGGATCCTGAAGGCAGCTCGTCCTGGACAAGTGACTTGCGCACACACAGGCGTGCTGCTGAAGCCCATGCGTGAGCTTGACAAACCGATTTTCCCGTGAATGAGACGTCCAGTGATTTTGCCACATGTTCCAGGAATTTAAAATTTCTAGACTTGATCTTGTTTATTTGGTTTTAAAACATTCGATTTTATGAAAGGAAGGGTAATCCACAACGTTTGATCACCTATTGTATTTGATCGATCACTGCCATCGCTTCAATCAGCAAAAATAACAGAAAATGGGGGTGTTCCCAGGCGCAATGGCAGACAGCCTCCTCCTGTTTACACGTGGAGGTGTTTCCATAGCTGTTGCCCCTCTCGGGCTTAGGCGTGTGTAAGCTGACAATGCAGGCTGTTCCAGAGAAAGCCGCCCCTTTCCTGAGCTCAGAGTACTGTGCACCGAGGATGCCCTGGGTTGAGAATAATCAGCCTCAGGGTCCTCCTTGGTGGAAGGAAAGGACACAGGCATGGCCAAGGCCTGTGCTCTGCCAGGTGCCACTGACCTTTCATCCCCACGCTGAGGGGCTGGGTGTTAGTTTCCAGTCTATTGGCCTCAGTGGACGAATGAGAAAAAGCGGAATTCAGTCACTTTGCCTAAAAGCGGGAAGCCGGAATCAGGACCTAGAAGTGTCTCAGTTCCCAGGCCTGTGCTCTTTCCACCTGATTCTGCTGGGTGAGTACAAGTGACTGTCAGGGGAACACACTGGAAGCAGAGCTGAGGGAGGGAAATGGACAAGCATCTGTAGTTCCATGCTTGACACAGACACCCACGCTGCAGTGGCTGCCAAATCTGGCACCAAAATCAGGAGACTGGCTGCCATCAGAAGCTAAAACCCTACAGTCATTACTAAAACATGCATTTCAACATGTATTCATGCCTCTTCCAACAGGTGATGTAAATACGTCAGTTTAAACCCTCTTATGCTCCATGCATTTTGGTCTCCCTGTCTTTGACAGGCACAGAAATGAATGGATTGTCACAGGAGCCGCTTCTCAGTGCACAATGTCTTCCCCGTGCTTCCAGCCTGAAGCTATCTGATTTGTGTCCAACCCGAATCTGGGAGAAGATGAGCCAGTCGACTGGGGACCAAAGGTGCACAGGTGTAGTTTGGAGGCCACAGAAGCTCACCTGGCAGTCCATGGCAGTCTAGCTCCACAGAACCATTTCCGACCTGTTTTATGTGACCATGACCCCCAGGCAACTCCCTGGGGTCCTTGGGGCCAGGAATGAAGCGATCAGGGACTGCCAGGGCCCCAGTCATCCCCCAAAGAGCCCTTCATTGAGACCAAGAAGAGAGGTGTCCTAGTAGGCCTGCAGTCTCCACCCTTCTATGTAGATGTTGTCCACTCCATAGTCTTAAAAAAAAACAACTCAAGGTAAAAAGATGTAAAAGCTTTGCATTATGATATTTTTCAAACACACACAAAGGTAGAGAGAATCGTACCTAATAATAGACAAACATGTAAATTGACCATACCTTCGCTACGCTAACCAGCCAATCCGGAGAGTATGCAAATTAACCCAACAAAGATGGCAGTTAATTTGCATACGTAGGCTCCAAGCTGCGGAGCGAAGCCTGACAGCCCTGGGCCAAAGCAGCGAAGCCTGAAGGCCCCAGGGCCAGCGGAGCGAAGCCTGATGGCTCCGGGGCCGGCTCTGGCTAGAGCCCGGCCAGAGCGAAGGCCTGGGTCCCGAGTGCCAGAGGCAAACTGGTGCCAACAGCCAAGGGAAGGGAAGGCCTATTGCACGAATCTCTTTGTGCAACAGGCCTCTAGTCTATATATAAAAGCCTAAGCGACCGTTGGATCTCTCGATTGTTCGACCGGTGCTATGACGTGCACTGACCACCAGGGGGCAGATGCTCAACGAACAGGCATGGAAACATGGAACAGACTGATGAATCTCAGAGAGAAAGGGGGAGGGCGGGAAGAGATTAACCAAAGATCTTATATACATGGATTCATGCACTGGTGGAGTCCCTTGGCCTGGCCTGTGTGGATCTTGCTGAATCCATGCACCGGGCCTCCGACATCCCCTGAGGGGTCTTAGATTGCGAGAGGGCACAGGCCAGGCTGAGGGACTCCACTGGTGCACGAATCTGTGCACCAGGCCTCTAGTACTATACTAAACTCTCATTTCCCAGTTCCAGCAATTGTCAACATTTTTGCCAATCACGTTTCTTATAGCCCAGCCCACTCCCTTTATTTACCAAAGTCTTTTAAAGTAAATCCCAGAAATTCCCATTTCATCCATTAATAACAACGCACTGTAACTGGCAAGGACTTTCTGCTCCCGAAGGAGCCACTCTGCCATTATCACACCCTACTGCCAGGAGCCAGTCCCCTGGACCTGCTGGGGTTGGACCCCAGCACCCTACAAAATGGACACTAATTCCTTAACACCAAATAATACCCATCCATATTCAAGTTTCTCAAAATGACTTTTTTACAGATCATCTGCAGAAGTCAGGATCCTAGCAAGGTCCACACATTTTATCTGTTAAGTCTCTTTTGTTAACAGTCTCCCCTCTCATATTAAATACATACATATATATTTTTTCCTAACGTTAAGAATATTTTATTTCAGAGAGGAAGGGTGACCCAGATGAACTCTAAGGACCTTCAGATTCCAATATTCTGTGCTTGGTGTGTGCAGAGCGCAGATCTGAGCTCATTCTATACATCTGATCACCCCAGGATTCTGAAGGGAGCTCACCTTGGGTACCCATGGCTCTCCTACAGGCCAGGCAGGTAAATCTATAGTGCACCCCAAGAAAAGTTCTATCTGTCCCATTTCTCAACTACAGTGACATCACAGACTGGATGCATTTCACAAGGCACCATGCGGGCTGAGGGGAGATGGTCTCACTGCAAACCTGAGCTGTTAGGAGTCCTCTCTAACGTTAAGGATATTTTTGGATTTTGCTATTTCAGGGTTCTAACTCCTCTCTCATTTTGTTCACAGTGAAGCATCTTTGACAAAATACCATAAAATCATATGTAGTAAAGATTTAACTATTTTCCTCTTAACTGCTGAATTCGGGGTCATTTCTAGACTCCTTAGCAATCCTATATAATAAAAGGGTAATGTGCAAATTGACCGAACGGTGGAATGACTGGTTCCTATGATGTGCACTGACCACCAGGGGGCAGATGC